AGAATTCCATACTCAGCCAAACTGCTGGTCACGAGCGAGGTAGACTCGGATGCTTGTCCTGCTCAATCCCATGCTCAGGAAACCGCGAGAGGGTGGGCTCTGCCAGCATGTGGGAAAACCCCAATGAGGGGCACCCGGAGAGTGGACACAGTACCTCCAGCCCGAGGAGATCCCGGGAGGACAGTCGTGGAGAGCAGAGGGGGCAGGGGGGAATTCAGCAGAACTGAGAGCATCCCAGAGGGCTTGCTACAGGGTTGGGGAGAGAATTGCTGGTGGCTACAAGGAAAATGAAGCAAGCAAAGGCAGTGATTTACTCTAGGAAAATGACAGTCTTGTACAAGAGAGTAAGTGTAATCCCTACATGGAGTACTTTGAGCAAAACACTTGGTTAAACTCCCAAGTAAGCCCAAAACTCCTGCTATGGCTTCACTAGGAGGAGGGAAGCTTGTGTGAGCGAACTTGGCCGATCCTTGTCTTCCTCTGTTGAGAATCAGTAGACCATGGAAACTGTAGATTGTGAACGAACTATCGAAGCACGTTAGAAATTTAAGGGTAAGAGATCACCCGAGGGTTTGCTCTGAGTGGGATTGTGGGTGGGCAAGAGAAATGGATTTTCTGCCACCCGTCTTCTAGCGCTCCGTGAGTTTTTAAACAAGGTAAATGTTAACGGTGCAAATAAAAGAATCCGGCAGGGTTGCCGCCCCGGGATCCTGGTGGTTTGGGGCCCAGCTCCCATGGGTTCTGACCCTGGAGTGCCGGTTCCTTCTGTCCCCAGAGTGCTGGTGGGAATTTTGATGGGCTCCACCCCCCCGTGTTGTGACAGGCAGGCCCTTGATTTCTGGGGAGTTCGCCCAGAATGCCAGTGGCTTCCAAGGCGTCTGGACCCAGAGGCCCAGTGTCAGAAGGCACCGCGGCCGGCCGCCCATGGAAACAGCGATTTGGCTGGAGTCAGCAGAGGTGCTTCTGGAAAGGCTCGCATCCAGTTGACTTGCTCATGGAGCTGTTGGGGAGCGTGTGGACTGTGCTTCTCCCCAAGAGGCCGCGCTGCCCGCCAGCCCTCCCCGTCTGTGGTTGCAGAGCCCGGCCCTCCTCTGCCTCAGCTTGGATTTGCTGGCGGGCAGACTGGCTCCTGCTGCAGGCCCCCCATGCCTGCCTCCCCTGCTGGCCTCAGACTGCAGTGGGATGGTCGGGGCTGCTGAGGTCCCGCTTCACCCCTGCATGCTCTTGTGCAGCCTGGCCCAGCGGCTGTGGGCGTGCAGGGGCTTCTGGCCTGGATCCAGCCCTGGCAGCTCCTCCCCACCACCACTTCCCTGCAGGCTACACGGTGGGCTTCACACAGGGCTGGCTTCTCTGCCCTCGGGTCTGCTGGGCGTGCTCGGAGGCCCCGGGGCTGGGGGGGCAGGTGGGGGCCTGCAGACTTGGGTCCCCACTGCAGAGGAGCACTCCCCTTCCCAGCTCGCTGACCTCAGGCTAGTAGCCCAAACTCTGAACCTCCTCCTGACTTGTGCAGGAGCTGCCCGCCCCCACCCCGACCCCGTGTCACCTATTGTCCAGGATGTGGCTCTGACGGGAGGGGGCCGACAGCTTGTGTCCCTTGTTGGGATGAGGGTGGCCTGGGTTGGCAGGAGGCTGTGCTGTGTCCTTGGTGTGAGCGGTCCTGTCCTGGCGTTAGGAGCTCCGAGAGATGCTCGTTTGTATTGAGCCTCTTTGGCTCGGAGTGGCTCACTTCATGGCCCTGCCCCCAATAGCCCTGTGAGGAAGGGGGGAGCATTGCCACATTTTCGGGGGTCAGGGGAGGACTCCCAGGGCCCGTTCTCAGTGCAGACCTGTTGAATGAATAAAGGAGTAGGTGGGGGGGATACCCCTTGAGTGGCCACCACCAGATCCCAAGTGAGGACTCTGCCCTAATTCCCATGTAGGAGACGCACGGCTCCCCTGAGTGGAGGTGTCCGCAGCCGGGCAGGGAAGGTCTCCCGACGGGAGAGTCGCCCTGGGTGTGGACGATGTGGGGATGGTGCTCACGGACGCAAGCGCGCGAGATTAGTCCCGTTTCCCGGGTGGGCGGGGGGGCTTTGCAGCCTCGTTCAGTCGTCAGGCCTGTGTACTTCCTGAGCATCTACTCTGGGTCAGGAGCTGTGTGAAGAGTGTGATGTGAGTGTGGTCAGCAGAGGTAACGGCCCCCGAAGATGTCCACGTCCTAATGCGCGAACCTGTGAGTATTTCACCTTTTGTGGTGAGGAGGGTGGAGGTTGCCAGTCAGCTGCCCCTCAGGTGGGAGGTTATGCTGGACTCTGGGGGCTGGGTGTGCTCACAGGGGGTTCCTGACCGCCGAAGAAGGAGGCAGGGTGACACGGTGTGGCTGCAGCTGGAAAAGCAAGAGAAGGACTTTTCCCCTGGAGCCTCCAGAGGGGAGCGGTCGTGCCCACACCCTGATTTGAGCCCAGCGTGGCCTGTGTGGGCCTCTGACCTCCAGAGCTGTGGACAGAAGCCAAGGCAGCCATAAGAACTGATATGTAACTAGGACACGACCTCCGTCATCTCAAGCCCCCACTCACGCCCAGTACGCCAAAGCAGTAGGCCCAGAGGCCCGGGGTGCTGAGCACTGCAGGAGGGCTACAGATGGGACGGGGTGTCTGGGAAAGCTTCTAGGAGTGGCGGCTCAAAGATCAGGTTGGTCAGGCAGGAGGGCGGCCCGTTGAAGGCTTGGGCCACGGGAGTGCTGAGTTCTGGGGGCGATGGAAGACCCGGCCACAGCCCAGAGTGCCAGAGGGGCCCAGAGCCGCCGGGACACGGCGGGTGGAGGGGTCACCGCAGCCGTGGAGGGACCAGCTGGGCTCATGCTGACATCTGGAGCACCGCCAGGGCGGTGGCAGTGGACGTGCAGAGGAGAGGCCAGTGGGGACAGGCTGGGGCGCAGCCGGCACCTGGGGCAGACCCTTGTGGACAGCACAGCCTGTGTTTGGTCTTCGGTGACGGTGACTGGTCAGTGTTGTCATCATCCTCTCTAGCTGGGCTTTTCCTGTGATCATTCTGTCCCATCTCGCCAGCCGGCTTCTCGCCCCAGAGAGGCCGGGGGCCGCTCGCTGCCCTCGTCCCCCGTGCCCCGTTGGCTGCCCCGGTGCCGTGGGGTGTGTCGCGGGCCTTCCTGGAGCTTATGCCAAAGGCTGGGCAAGGCCGGGCCGAGTTGCTTGGGCAGGAAGTGGACATGGGGACAGGCTGGTAGGGAGGCAGGTGGAGAGCTTCCTTGGGCTCTAAGGAGGCTGGTCTCCCAGCAGAGATACTTAATGAGGCAAAGAGGGGGCTTGTGGAATTGATATGCCACTGTCGATGTAAGATGATGCTAATGGGCAGAGCGTCTGTCCAGGTCACTGCCTGGGGGAGCTGCAGGGCTGGGGGCAGGGAGCACTAAACATAGGTCCTGAAGATGTCACCGGGAGAGGCCTGTTTTGGGGACTCTGCCCGCAGTCTGACTTCGGAGGGCATGGACTCCCCCGTGCAGGTGCCCTGGGCCGTTGGGTGAACGGACCTCACCAGGAGGAGTGGGGTGGAAGCCACACTCTGGCCATGTGACCTGGGGCACAGTTTGGCCTCAGGCTCCTCATCTGTAAATGGGGGTAATGGTCCCCACCTTTCGGGCTGGTGGGAGGATCGTGTGGCTACTAGATAAAGTTATTTCTGTTTGAATTTAAAAAGCCACCACACTATTTTCTTCAGTGCTTTGCTTCAAAGCTGCCTCCTCCAGGAAGTCTTCCTCAAACAAGGTATTCTCTTCTGATTACTCAGCACCCAAGGTTTGCTTGTCCATTCAGAAAGTAGGAATTGAGCACAGCTACGTGCTGGCTCTCCCATTACAGCAAAGAACCGGGCCCATGTCTTTACAGTGGGAGGGTGGGAGCCCCTAAAGGAACGTGCAGGCTGTTCCCGGCCTGTTGGTGCAGTGTGGGGGAGCGGGGAGTGTGCGAGTGTCAGATGTGGCCCGTCAGGGAGTCAGAGGGAGGAAGGGGCTCCAGGCAGGTGCTGGCAGATGCAGACGGTGGGGATGAGTCTGGCACGCTCCGACCTGCAGGGAGGCCAGTAGGAGCTCAGTAGATGGAGAGAGAGGCCGTCAGAGGTGCTGGGGGCGGGGGGGCACAGAGGGACAGGCCTGCAGGCCGTGGGGAAGACCTTACCCTGAGGAGAGGTGAGGCCGCTGGAGGGTCTCTATGGACGAGCAATGCCATCTAACGTCTGGGTTGGAATGGCCGGTCAGACTGACGGGTTGGGTGAGCTGAGCAGAGAGCTTTGGGGGCTCTCGCAGTGCCGCCCGGGATGGAAGGGCCAGCTCTTGGCTCACCTTGACGGCAGATCCAGAGGTTGCTGAGTGTAGGCCCGAACGGGCATGGGTAGGCTGGCCGTTGGTTGTGGGGGCAGGCCTGGTCCCTGTGAGGCGTTGGCAGTGTGCGTTCCTGGGTGCACAGACAGGTGCGGGGGGAGTGTGGAGCTGGCTTTGGTGGGGGGATGGCATGAGCCCTCTAGGGAGTGCAAGCAGCCAGGAAGCAGGGGTCTGAGGCAGTGTTTGGGGCAGTCAGTGTTTTTAGGGTGGGAGGATGAGAACGAGCGATAGACCAATACCCCCGGAGTAGAAGGACCAAAGTCTTGAGGAGGAGGCACCAGCCTGCCGTGTCTGTTTCTTCCGAGAGGTCAGGTGGGGTGGTGATGGGAGCCCTGGGCTCACTGGTGGTGACCTGGAGCTGAAAGCCTGAGCAGAGTGGGGCCCGCACACACGGGCCAGAAGAGGCACCAGGAGCCACCTTTCCCCCAGGGGTTACACTCTTGGCTGGGTGTCCTGCCTGTCCCTGGGGTGTCCTGCTCACCAGGGCTCTGCACTTGGTGGCTGGCCAGGTGTGGGATGGGCCTGTGGGTCTTCAGGCCTGATCTTAGGCAGCAGGTGCTACCTGGAGAATGGGGCTGGCCCTTAGGCTTCCTCTGAGAGCCACCCCCCGGGACTTCTCTCCATCCAGGCACAAGCCTGCTGCAGGAGGTGGTCTACTTGGTGAGCCAGGGGGCCGACCCTGATGAGATCGGCCTGATGAACATTGACGAGCAGCTCCCGGTCTTGGAGTACCCGCAGCCAGGCCTGGACATCATCAAGGTGCTTCTCTGGGCCAGCAGTACCTAGCCCCTAGGATTCCCTGGGGACCCAGAGTGACAATTGCTCCTGAGGGGCTCGGGGAGCCCACGGGTGGAGGGAGAGCAGAGAGCTCCCAGTCCCCCTAGACAGTCTTGTCTGGCATGGGGGGTGGCCGGATCTTGGGTGAGAAATTTCTTGGCAGAGTGCAGGTCCTGACCATCAGGCCCCAAGGCAAATGAGCAGCCGTGTGTCCTCTGAACGCCTCTCCCTCTGACCCTCCGCAGGAGCTGACATCTCCCCGCCTCATCAAAAGCCACCTCCCCTACCGCTTCCTGCCCTCCGATCTCCACAATGGTGATTCTAAGGTAACCGCCCTCCCCCCAACCCCCGGCAGAGATTCCAACAAGCAGAGCTGGTCCAGCAGTGCTCAGGGCCACGGTCCAGAGTTCTAGAGGCCCGGGTGTGCGGAAACACGGTAGAGGCCATCTCTGAGCTTGCACCCCTAGCATTTTGTCCACGTTTCTAATTTGGGTTTTTCCTTACAGTCGAACTTGGGCTTGACCGGCCTGGGTCCGGTTTCTGCTCCTGTGTCAGGCCGAGGACCCACTGCTGCTTTCACGGTCTCTGATCTTTCTCATTTTCTCAGTGTGTTTAGTTGACGAGGCCTCTGATTCTCATGACCAGTGTCAAGCCCGTCCTGTTTCTGTCTTCCACTCATTCTAAAGTCATGGCGCAGGACAGAAACATAATCAAACGCTCAGGTGTCATCCCACCAGATGCTCTTACACGGAGGAGAATACACCTCAGCTAGCGCAGAGGCCGCGCACATCTGGAGCCGACCTCGGGGCTGGAGATGGGGTGGCAGTTTACAGTGGGTCAGAGGGGCGGTGACCGAGCCTCCCCTCCCTCCCGCCGCAGGTCATATACATGGCGCGGAACCCCAAGGACCTGGTGGTGTCCTACTACCAGTTCCACCGCTCCCTGCGGACCATGAGCTACCGAGGCACTTTCCAGGAGTTCTGCCGGAGGTTCATGAACGACAAGCGTAAGTGTCTCAGCCTGCGTGGGCATTAGGACAGGGCCGGCTCATTCACTGAACCCCTGCGTGGGCTTGTACTTCGCCCACGTTGCCCCCAGTTCCTGCAATGAGCACGTGGGTGGGGCCTGCTGTCCTGCTGACAGGTGGAGAAATGGGGCTCAGGGGCGACTGGAAGCTTGGCAGGCGGCGTGGCAGGGGCGTGGCAGGGGCGTGGCAGAGCTGTGTCCAACTCAGAAGCCCTTGTCTCTCACCCACATCGTTGGGGTTCTGAGGAGGTCCCCTGTTCCAAGCATTCCTCTTCCTGCCTGGATTCTGAACAGTAAAAAGGGAGGCCGGGAGAGTTCTGCTGTTGGTGACAGAGGCCCGAGTGGGGGCTGTGGCCTCGTGAGAGCCCCGTGGCCTTGAGCTGCGCTTGAGGATCGGGCTGGAGACGTGGCCCCCAGCCCCGGGCTGTGTGACAGGTGAGGGGCGAGGCAGGGCTCTGCAGGAGCTCGTTCCCAGGGGAGAAGGCAAAGGGGGGGCCCTCCCCAGTCTCCCCTCCCCAGGGCAGGAGCAGACTGGGTCACCCCCCTCGCACAGGGACCTGGCCAAGGTGGCTCCCCGGTCACCGTCCATGGCTTCTCTGGCACCCTTCCGGGACTGCCAGCGGGAGTTCAGTGACAGTTTGCACTGCAAGGCTTGAGACGGGCCACATCAGTACTTGGATTAAATCCGGGCCTGGACAATTTATTTCCCAACTCAAGTCTTAGCGTTCAGCCCCACCATCCACTTGGATGACCTAGTCAGAGGTTCTGCAGTGAGATCGTGTGGCAAGACCAGGGGAGAGCCGGGAATATAGTGCCCAGGATGAACGCTGACCGGCGGGACTGGAGCTGCCTCCCAAGCCTCACGGAAGGCCGGGCCCTCATGGGTGCTGCACCGGAGCCCCCGAGGCCCTCAGTGCCCGAGCCCCTCTGAATTGGCTTCAGTGGTGCTGGGGGAGGGTCCGGGGGAGGAGGCCCGAGGGAGGAGGCCCCTGCCCTCAAAGCCCTGGAGCCTTCGAAGACCCTCTGTCCAGCCTCCCTGTCCCCCCAGGGGACTGCCACCTGGCTCAGGCCCTTTCTGGTCTGCCAGGCATTTGGAGTAAGCCATTGATGTGGTTTTCAAAACCATATTATTAAGTCCCAACATGTTCTCCTGCCTCCAGAGAAGCAGCTACCAGCGTGGGGACGGTGCCCCGTAAAGAGCAGGTGTCCACCAAGTTCAAAGTGCCACCTGGTGTCGGTCTTAAATTAGCCTCCTGCTCGGGCTAGAGGAATTAAGTTATCCTGATACAGGTCTCTCCGTGGTTTTTTTTTTTGTTTTTTTTTTTAAAGATTTTATTTATTTATTTGACAGAGAGAGACACAGTGAGAGCAGGATCACAAGCAGGGGGAGTGGGAGAGGGAGAAGCAGGCTTCCCGCTGAGCAGGGAGCCTGATGCGGGGCTCGATCCCAGGACCCTGGGATCATGACCTGAGCCGAAGGCAGACACTTAACGACTGAGCCACCCAGGCGTCCCCTCTCCGTGTTTTAAAGGTCACAGCCCAGCCCTTGAAGTTCAAGGCCACACGCACTTGCTGTGATCCCACCAAAGCCTCTCGACATGTGTGCTTAGCTCCCCCGTGTTCTCTCTATTCTCCCAGCGTTCGCAGCCAGTGTGCCACAGCTTGGGCCCTCGGAGGCTCGTGTCCTCTCCTCATCTGAGCTGTAGAACGAGCAGTGGCCGGCACCGTTGACTGATAGAGTGAGCTCGGAGGACGCGCTGACCCAAGCCTGCACTTGGGTGTTGTGACCTGTGCACTTGGGGCGGGGGTGCCTGGGGCTGCATGCCCAGGTGACAGGAGTGTGGAAGACTCACCCTGCAGGCAGGGTCGCTCCCAGAGAGGGGGCAGAGTGAGCTGCTCTTCTCCCAGATAATCTGCTTGGATAAGCACACCGACCTCCAGGAGCAGAGGGACCCCGGTGGGCAGAGGCCGGGGGTGCCCTGGTGGAGCTTCCTTCCCAGGGTGACACATCCTGAGTGGGAAGAGCAGTGTCCCCACCAGCAAGGTCTATACCCCTCTCTGCACCAGCTAACCAGGGTTCGGAGACACAGGCCTGTGCTGTCCTTGTGATCGTTGACCCTGCGTGAGTGACCACTGTCCCCATGCCTCACTGTCCCCACCACCTGTGTGCTCGTGTGCAGTGACCACTCTCCTCAGCCCTCACTGTCCCCACGTCACCCTCCTGCTCAGCCCCCACGTCCTCCCCTGGGAGCATTGCTTGCCTGTTCTGCAAGTTTTCTCACACAGCCCCTTGGAATGACAAGGATTTTCTTAGCCTCTGTGTTCCTGGCTGTTGGACTCATGCTCTGTCCCAGGGCTCAGGTCACCTGGTCTGCGTGGCGGCTTGGGCACTGACTCGGGAGGTGGGTTCTCCTCTCGGGGCCCCCGTGATTATGCACCTGTTGGTGAGTCAGTCCTCATTCCCTTCTCTGGACTCTGCCTCGTCTTCTCTCAAGTGGGAAGGCTGGCCTGGCTGTTTTAAGGCCCATCTCGGGTGTACGGAGTGACCGTGATGTGCCGGACTGGCCGTGGAAGGGGTGCCAGGGGGACCCCAGGCCCAGCCGCCAGACCTCTACAGTGAGGAGACTGAGGCCCTCGCCAGCCAGGATTTACCCCGCAGTGGGTCCCAAACAAGGCCTCTTGGCTGAATTTGTGTTCTTTCCGTTCTGTCATTTCTGCCTCTTTCCCCCCGCCCCGCCAGACCCCCTGCTTCGTTCCTCGCGGGCCGGGGTCTGGTTGGCCTGAAGGGGGGGCCTTTCTGCTGTGCTCTGGTCGTTGAGGCCAGCCCTCAGCGACCCCTGGTCGACTCCCCATCCCTCAGAACCGCTCTTTGGGCCGTGGGGCCAGGCTGCTGCTGTGCTGCCACCTGCTGGCGAGACTGCAGACTGCCCGGGGTGGCCGCGGCGGGAGCTGGGTCTTCCCAGCCTCTGTCAGGCATTTAAGTCTACGAGGTTCTCAGCAACTTGGGGGCGGAGGCTGCCTTCTCTGCTCAAGGTGTGGCTCTGGCAGGGGCAGTACCAGTCCCCTGCCACCCCTCGGCCACTCTGGGAGGCGTAGGTTCTGTCGTCACTCCACTGGAGGACCTGCCCGGGTCGCCCAGCCGGTGCAGGACTGGAGAGGCTGCCTCCCCTGGAGGCCGTGTCCTCTACCATTCCGCCGTGCTCCCTCTCTCCCCTCTGGCCTTGTCACTGTGCTCTGAGCCACCTTGATGGCTTGCAACCGCTGTGTACCCTTCAAGGCTTGTCCCCACGTGGGACGGGACCCCCTGTGTCCACCATGCCTCCCTCCCGTTGATCAGTCCGTATCCTCGCCGCCAGTCTCCTTGGTGATTCCTGCCAAGCTGGGAACTCCTTGAGCCCGAGGCCACGAAGTGGGACCCACAGGCTGAGTGTTTGTGAGACAGATGGGCGCCCAGGTGAACAAGGGTGCAGGCGGTGCGGCCACCACTCCTGGCCGGCACCTAGTACCCAGCCGGGCAGGGCAGGCGTTCCTTGGCTGAGGCCTTGCTCTGTTTAATGCGGACGCCTCCTTGGGAGACTCATCTCAGCGTGAGGGCTGGGGATGGGGTGAAAATCTGTAGTTTTTGTAAAGAACGTTTCGAAGCAGCCTGGCTACACTGACTGGCACATCCCCCACCCGCCCACGTGACCCTTATCCCAACCAAAGCCCCGAGGAGCGTAGGAGGTGCAGGGGCCATGGCGTGGGCTGTGAGGCTCGTGTGTCGGGACAGAGCACACTGCCTCTCTCCACCTCTGCTCCATCCTGCTTCCGCCCTTCCTGCTTCTGCCCGTGGCTCTCCTGCCTGGCAGGGCCTTGTGCTCGGGTCGTAGTGCCTCCCACATGTCATCCTACCCCCGCCAGCAGCATCGACCGCCCCATTTCTCAGTTCCCCGGGCTTGCACTCTTCTCAGCGACCGCGTGTTAGGCAGAAACTCATGGGAGCCAGGGAGCGTCCATCCCCCAGGTGAGCAGAGGCCTTTGCCCAGTGGTCAGGTCTTCAAGGTGTCCAGGAGGTACGTAGGGAAGGGGGCTGAGAACTATTGGCGAGAGAGACTTGTACACACAGCCAGGGGATGTGGGACTTCGGAGGGGGCTCATCTGTGGGACCTCCCCCGGAGCCGAGAGCTTGTTCTTCCCTTCCTGAACCACGGCTCCTGGGCAGTGAGAGGGGAGCCTTCCAGAAGGCAGGGAGCCAGGCCACCCCACTTGTGCATGCCTGTTCCCCCAAGGCTGTGACTCACCTGTCCCCTTGTCTCCACAGTAGGCTACGGCTCCTGGTTCGAGCACGTACAGGAGTTCTGGGAGCACCGCATGGACTCGAATGTGCTTTTCCTCAAGTATGAAGACATGCACCGGGTGAGTGCTGCAGGGGGGCAGCTGTGGGGGCAAGCACCCCCAGCCTCGCAGCTCCTGATGCAGGAGCGTGGGCGTGACTGGAGTGCATGGCAGGTCTCTCCGAGACCCCCGGCTTCCGGGCGGAAGGACTCAGAAGTTCCAGGTGTGCCCAGAATCCTCCCGGGCCGGTGCTTTGGGAGGCCCTCCTGCCTGGCGGGGTCTGGCCCTGCCCCAGCCTGCCTCAGCCTCTAGGCCCCGGCCCCAAGGGTGCTTTCTGGGTTGGGCCGTGGGCAGTGCTTTAGAAAGCCCTGTGGGTTATTTTTCTGCCTAGCCGTGGGAACAGAGCAACGGCCAGACTCTCCCTGCCGCCCCCTAGCACCCTCTCCGCAGGGGACCAGCTCAGAGCAAAGGGCTAAGATGGCAGGGCCCGAATTTCTCGTCTCGCGGCCTGTTTGCCTCACAGCAGCACTCAGAGTGCCGACGAACCGGTTCATGTGAAGAGTGTTGCTGAGTGCCTGGCATGGGGCGTGGGGGTGGTGGCGTGAGGTGGTCGCTGCCGGAACGTTCCAGGCTCGGCCATGCTGTTGAAGGCAGGAGCTCGCCTGTGCCCCGAGAGCTCACCTTCTAGAAGGGGGGCCCACGCGCCGCACACCAGTCACTGCCGTTAGCACTTTAAGGGTCTTGCCACGTGCTGAGTCCTATCCGAAGTTCTTCGGGCATGTGATGGCTCACTTAATTCTAGAGCACCTTGACCCTCTCTGCTGGGGCTGTATCGTCTCTGGAGGGACATTCTGATGGTTCCCCTTTCTTACAGCAGACAAAAGGCAAGCCTTCCCTAAGTCCCTTCCCTCTGTGGCTCCTCGGCTCCACTTTGCTGCGGGTCCCCTCACAATTGTCCCCCCTCCTGAGCCCGCTCGGGCCGGGCTCGCCCCCGCGCCCCCAAGTGCTCTGTCAGGGCCACCCATGGCCTCCGTGTTGCTCGACCCGGCGGTCGGTGTTCACGTCATCCCACCTGGCCTCCTGGCAGCAGGCGACAGGTGATCGTCTCCCCCCACTCGGGATACCAGCTGGTCCTGGTTCCTTGGCTGCTCTCTTCTTGGTGCTCAGCCCACCTCGGCTTTCCTCTCGTCCCAGCCTTGCTCCCTTCCCTGATGACCCCAGGCCAGACGTGGACCCTCCCCAGACTCGCTCTCCACTGGCCGCCCCCTGCACCTTTCTCCCTGAGCGTCTGGTGGAGGCCGTGGACCCGGCATGTCTAAAACAAACTAGAGGTTTCCCCTCAAATCCTCCGCAGCTTCATCTGTGTCTCAGGCGAAAGTCATGAATCCTCCTCGACTTCTGACTTCCTCTCACACCCTGTGTCCGTCTTCCCAGTCTTGTGTTCTCTGTCTTCAAAATATGCTCCTTATCTGACCATTTGTCCCCCAGTCTCCGGGGTCCAGGTCACCCTTGCTTCCGGCCCGGGTCATCGCTTGCGTGGCCTCCTGGGGGGCCTCCTTGCATCCCCTCAGGCCTGCGTGCTGTGCAGCGGCTGTTCGATGGCATGCACACCGGTCAGACTGGGCCCCTCCAGCCGCACGTTGCTTCGGGTGCAGGTCAGGGCCCACACGGCGGCCCGGTGCCCGGACGTCCAGCTCCACACTGGCCTGCTTACTGTTCCTTCAGCCTGGGGTGCTGTGGCCCCGCCTGGAATGTTCTTCCCCTCCGGGGTCCACATGGGTCCCTCCCTCACTTCTTCCAAGCCTTGGTTCCTGTCAGTGACACTTCCCCGGGTCCCCATTTGAAATCGGCCCGTCCAATCCCCGCACGTCTCTCTCCGCTTCATTTTCTCCACAGCCTCTAACATTCCGCCCCATATCTTGTGGTTTGTGTCTGTATTTTGCTCACTGTCTCCCCTGCCAGAATAAGCTCCTTTGGGGCTGGGAGTTGGGGTGCCTGTTTTTGCTTCTAAGTCAGTGCCCGACGCATAACAGGTTCTCGGGAAGTATCTGTGGGTCGAACGGATGGCCTTCACGGTGGAGACCCTTCCTCCTTGTTAAGAAGCCAGAGGCCCGCGGAGTTGAGGGGCTTGTCATGGGTGGGCTGCCCCGGCTCCCTGCCCAGGCCCCTGCCCTAACTGCTCCCTGCAATGTGGTGGTGGCGAGTGGGTGGGGCAGGACGGCACCAGGCAGACCAGCCTGGCACTCTGACCAAGGCCGTGGCCCAGGCGAAGGCGTTCATCTGCCTGTTGTGTCCGAGAGAGTCCAGGTGGTTCCTGGGGGTGGGGGTGGAGACAGGCACTGGGGACGGGACTCAGTGATGCTGAGCAAGCTTGGCAGGGCTTGGTCACACGGAGATTCGATAGGAAACATGGAAGGAAGGGTGGGTTCTGCATGAAGATGGAGAGCTCGCTTTTGGCCTCATGAGTATGAGGGGACTGTAGGACAGCCAGCAGGAATGCCATGAGCAGGAGGCCACATGACAAGCTCAAAGAGGGGCACAAGTGGTTTGGGGGCCCCCTGTGAGTCCTGCCTCTGGTGTCTGTGCCCTCTTGCAGCCTCCCACACTGACCCGGGCTGGGCCATGTGAATTTGGAGACCCGGATAGGTACACTGCAAGCAGGAGCCGGGGCAGGGCTCAGGGGCTGGGGTTGGCCCTTGCACAGTGCACGTGGGATGCCCAGGTGTCCCCCTGGGGACGCCGTGGGGAGAATGGGTGGCCCAGCCGCCAGCCCTGCCTGGCTGCTGGACATGTGAGCAAGATCACTGTGGGGCCCCTAGGCCCCGGCTGCAGCGCCAGAGGGGCACGTCCGGGGAGCCAACTGCCTCCTCTCCGTGCGGCTGACCCGGGTGTTGGAAGTGGACCGCTCATGTTGGGACCTGTCTGGGCCTGTGGGCCAGGAGATGAGACTGCTCCTCCGTCACGGAGGTTCGGGAGGCATCATCTTCGAACAGGGCCCGATGCGGGCAGGCCTGGCGGTTAGCGGGCCCTCAGCAGGTGTCTGTCATTGTTGTTCTCACTTGTCAGGGAGGTGTAGCAGGTACTTGAGGTCAAATACACAAATCACACGTCCACAACCTGATAGACTTTTTACAAGTACACGTCTGTGTGATCATCATCCAGATCGAGATTCAGAACATTCTGGCTTTTTCCGGTTAACACTTCCGCTTCCCAGAGGCGACCACTCTTCTGACCTCTGTTGGTTCAGATTAGTTCCGCTTGTTTTTGAACCTCCCAGGAGTGGACGCCCGGGGAGTGCGCACCGGCGTCTGGCTGCTTGTGATCCGTGTAGCGTCCTGCGGTTCATCTGTGCTTTGTGTGGCGGGCTGGTTCTCACGCCCGGGTGGTATTCCACTGCAGCAGGAATACGCCGCCACGTGTCTGTCCGTCCGGTGTCGCTGGCCGTTCTGGTCGTTTCTGTTCGGGGTGGTTATGTGAATGTTCCTGCATCTTGGTGGACATGAGCTTTTTTTCCCCCGGGCGCCTCCCCGGGGTGGGTGTGTGGGACGCTGGTGATTTTATGCCCGCCTGGACCATGCTAGCGCTTGCCCACACCCCAGGCCTGGTGTGAAAGGACGAGCCCCAGCGCGGTCAGCTGCGCACACGCCCGCCGGGGCCACGTGCCAGGGACTCAGCAACGAGGAACTTAAACCATTACTTCAGTTACTAAACCACGAGGGAGTAGGATGCACGCTTTATATACACTTCGTAGCTAAAACACAGACTGACGCCTGGCTGCTCTGGATTCGTTCCAGGCCCTTCAAGGTGAGTTCCTTCTCTGCCTCACTGGGCCCCTCAGCAAAGAGGTTATAGATGGGTTGCTTTCGATCGAAGTCCAGACCGCCAGCCCCACCTGGGCCTGCCTCCGCCCGGACTCATGTTCCCGGGCCAGAGGGACCAAATGGCCTTTACTGCGGTCAAGGTCCTAATTTCTACTTGTTTACTCTTTTTTCACAAACCTCAGTAAGGGTCCGGACTCCTTTAATAGGGATTAAGTGACTACGTCACATTTTTAGGAATTCACGTGGTTCACACTTTACTCCAAAAAAATAGCCCAAGTGAACGTCATTGGTCTCCAGGAGTGTGGTCAGGCCTGGCATGTTCTCATCTTGGGGCTGGATCATAACAGCACCTGCGCACTTGCCGCCTCGTGCGTTCCTCCGGGGGTTCCTACATCTCCCCCTTTGCTGTGGGCTGTGCACATGAGCGGGACGCCGCGCCGGCCTCCCCGGTGTGTCACCCCACAGTCCTGCAGTCCCCTGTGAGGTGTTCTCGCCAGCCACAGGTGAGGAGTCTTGACTGTGACCAGATGGCAGTGCTGGGACTGGAGCAGGGACACTCGGGAGGTCCCAAAAGCTGTCCAGAGCTAGTCTGCGGCTGGGACGCTGCCTGCCCGCACAGCTCAGTTTCAGAACCGGGAAGCAGGCTGGTGGCAGGCAGCTGGGTGCGCGCTGGTGAATGTGCCTTCCTCCCTGGGCTGGATGTCACGCCAGTCGTGTGGTGTCCCCATTAGGGTTCTGGTGGCCGCTCCAGCAGTCTGGGTCCCTCTCCTTTGGTGTCCCCTCCGAGGGCCACTGTCATTAATCTTTGTCGCTGATTTTTTTCTTTTAGTTAGAGATACTGGGTGGCAAAGCAGGGAGAGGAGCTGTTTCTATCCCTTTTTATTCGAACATTTCCTGTGCTCCCGATCCTGGCCAAGCCCTGCACACGGGGCTTGGAGCTGAGCACCTGCACCCCTCTCTGGTGGGAGCCCCTAAGCGGGGGACAGCTATGAAAGTGGGGCGCAGAGCCCAGTGGTGATCACCGTGGGAATCCAGAGAGGAGCTGACGCTCAACCCAGCTTTCACAGAACCTCTTGTTTTGTAAGGTTTGCGAAATACTGTGTAAACAAATGAAATGGATTTCTTTATCGTAGGACTTCTCAGAGGCTTTAATATGCCAATTACTTTATAAACCATCAAGGAGGCGACAGCCTCCAGCGTTTTCCTGACGCAGGACCTGGACATTGCCAGAGTTTGGAGACTGCCTGGTGACAGGTCAGGGTTCTGGGCACAATGGTTGGCAGTGCACGGATTGAGAATATGAGGCGCCTTGGGTGATTTCCCGGGAGCGGGGCGGTGCGGGGGAGGGGCTGTGTGGTGAGCAGGTGTGTGCCCCTCCCGAGACGCAGGCTGGGTCACTAATGCTCCCACCATCCGGAGGGTGGAGTGTCGGGGCCCAGAGGTGGCTTTCTGTCCATTGAGTCGAGCGTAACCAAACCCTCACACCTAACGAGCTCCTCCTGCGGGGTGAGGTGGGCTGGCCCTGGGGCCTGTCTGGGCCTCCAGGGGCCTCCTTCTTCTCCCAAGGGCCAGCTGGTTCCGGCTGATTGCACGGAAGGAAGGGGGAGAAGAGTGAGCTGGTCTGGCTCCTGGCTCGGTTCGGAAGTGAGTTTTAAAAATGGCCACAGTGATCCCAAGCCCTCAGGCCTGCTCCAGATCCCCCGGAGGACGGGGGCTTGACTTCCAGCTCTGCCACTCGAGAACCGAGTGCCCTTGGGCAACTGTTTAACCTGGATTTATGTCCGGACGAGGCCAATATCAGGCCTGTCTCGAGGACTGAGTAAGGAAGTGTGTGCAGAGCACCTTAGCAAGTGCCCCGCCAAGGGTCTTGGGTCGGCCAAGGCGCCGCCTCTCACGGGCTCCCTGCTGTCTGCTCTTGTGTTCCAGGACCTGGTGGCCATGGTGGAGCAGCTGGCCAGATTCCTGGGGGTGTCCTGTGACAAGGCGCAGCTGGAGGCCCTGAGCGAGCACTGCCACCAGCTGGTGGACCAGTGCTGCAACGCTGAGGCCCTGCCCGTGGGCCGGGGTACGCGCCCCCCCCCCCCCCCCCCGCCGGGGTCCGTGGTCCCTGCCCTGGGCCTCGTGGCTCCAGAGTCCTCTGCTCCGTGAGAGCAGGAAGGTCCTCCGAAAGCCAGGTGCTGTCGGTGGAGACGAGCGGGGGCCAAGGGGGCGGCTGTGCGAGTGGCCTGGGAGGTCACCGGGTGACTGTCAGGATGCCGTGGGCTCTGTGGGCAGGACGTTTCAAGCAGGCGCCTTCCCAGACAGCCCCACAGCACAGACCCCGGCATGGGCTCGGGGCCGTGAGATGGCGGAGCCCGGGGCACGCAGCCCTCAGCCGGTGGCGGAGAGTCCCCCCCCCCCCCCGCGGGGCGACGCCCCCTCCCTCTGCACTGGGTGCCAGTTCCGTGCAGGCCGGCGCTCCCCGGGCCACAGCTGTGTCCTGGGCACGGAGCGGTGTGAGGCGGAGGACATAGTGCAGGCAGGAGCCCTCTGCAGATTTGCCCGCGTTGCTGTCTGTCCTTCAAGGCTCTCACGATATTTGAAACTGCTTGATTTTGGAGAACTCGGGCGTTAGAACACCCTGAGTCCTGGTGGCGGCCGTGGCCGCATGAGCCACCGTCTTGGCAAGTACGAATTGCCCGTGACACTTGGTGTTGTGCACCTGCCGTTGGTTCCCAGCTGCGTGAACTCGGAGCGTCCTCAGGTGACAGAACGTTCGAGGGGCCCGCTGCGCCTCCCACATGTGCAGCCCCAGCTGGGCAGGCGCGACAGAGCCGGGCCCTGGGGCAGGGTCCTGGGCAGGGCCTCAGGGCGGGCCTTTGAGCTTCTCCAGCTCCGCGCTCTCCCTCTCTGGCTACCGGGGCGGTCCTGCAGGTCAGGGGGGGAGCACCCTCCTGTGAAGGCAGAGCAATCGGCTGAAACCACAGGACCTTGCAAGTGATTTCCTGGCTGTGTCTTCACAAATATTTATTATTTAAAATTTATTTGCTCTTTTTTAGTTTTGCTTTTGCTGTGTTTTGTTATCCTTGAATGTGACCTTCTCCAAAATACCCCTTTTGGTTCATTTGCGTGGTAAAGAAGTGTCGAGAACATACTGCGTACCCATATGCTCCTTCTGATGTGTTTGCTTTATCATTGTTTACCTTGGTTTTGCTTTATTTCAGTTCTTTGATTTTGTTTTCTTTTAGCACATTGCCTCTTTGCTCAGAAGACCTCCTTGCGTTGGTGAGAACGCAGGGCTTGAGTAGCCAGCCGCATTGCTTAAATTTGATTCATATCACAGCATAAATTGCACTGTCTTGATTCCAAACCCTAAACCAGGTGGGTGACTCCTTTGATGAGCTCTCAGCTGCCTCAGCTGAGAAAAATAATCATGGAAAAATATATTTATAGTGTAGTTGGTCTAGAAGCTTCTAATTTTGTCCCTGAGGTATCATCAGAGGGCAGCAAGAACAATTTCTCTGGGTTTTTTCTTTCCCCTCTCTGACACTGACATACAATTTTTCATTAGCAGAGAGAAAATCCTTGTCACGTTAGATGTGGTAGCCCAGCATGGTGGGGTCCCGCCAGGACAGGGACTTCTGTTAATAGTGGAGCTAACAAAGGATATTGGCTAGACAGTCGGAGCTCTGACCTCAGAGATGCTGACTCGGGAAGGAATTTGAAAGGAGCATTTCAGTGCCCCGGGGCTCTTCCTTAAAAGCATGGTGATAGTCCTAGCAGCTCCTGGAGCTGGGGGCTCAGAACCCCCACTCCTGCCGTCTGTCCGGGCACTGCTCGCATCTGACCAGACCGTCTGAAGATTCTGTAGTCAGTAAGTAAAGTGGGTTTGGTGGCCTTGGGCATTTTGAGCTCTCTCTTTCCCCACTAAGCCTTCATAAATGAGCGGCTAGGCCGTGCCTGCTCGTTAGTCTGCAGGCTCCATGCTCCTGCACATCTGCCCGGAAAGGTCTCATGTTTTGGCTGAGCCTCCCTGAGCTGGGGCTGCGCAGAGCAGCTGGGCATCGCCCCGACTTACTTCTGAGGGGGTTGAGTCAGCCCAGCGCACGTCTGGCATCTAGTTGCAAAAGCTCGTTGGCATTGCGACTCTTCTCTTCCCTTTAAATTCCTCCCCAAGGTTGCATGGCCAGGCTTCTCAAAATCTTCACCCTTGACTCAGTCGGGAGGCTTCCTGCTCACCATAAAAGGTTCTGCCTTTTGGGATGGTTTTTTTTTTCTTTTTCACATTCTCCAGAAGCAGATGCCACCTTGGTGGAGCTGTTGAGTCGTGAGTGAGTAGTGATACCACGGAGTACCCAAGTGCACATGATGCCCCAAGTGGTAGATCCATTGCACAGACACCATCTGTCCTCCGGGGTGTGTGCCTAGCTGCCGGGGATGCACCAGTGAACAGGGGCCGAGGCTCTCCTCTCAAGCCTCAGCTCTGCATACTCGTGCATGCCAGGCTCACGCAGCAGGGAAGGGACACCCAAACGACCAGACTCAGGGAAACGGGTTCAGCTCGTCTGTAGTTCAGATGGCCTGCCCTGCCCCCGTAGGCCAAGTTTGGAGGGGTGCAGGAATAGATCTGGAACCTTCCAGAACCTTTTCCAAGGCTTCCTTTGGTTCGGTATCTGGCCTGACAGCAAGTGAATTCAGCACATTCTGCTCTTGTTTGTGTTTCAGGAAGAGTCGGGCTGTGGAAGGACATCTTCACCGTCTCCATGAACGAGAAGTTTGATTTGGTGTATAAACAGAAGATGGGAAAGTGTGACCTCACGTTTGACTTTTATTTATAATAACAGCAACAGCAAACTTGCATGCTCACAGTACCCAGACACTCTACTAGCTAAAAGTCCTGTATGCACTCATTTGTTCCTTGCTGGACGAACTCCGGGAGCAGTGTGAGGCCCGGGGGAGGGAGGGAAGCAGCGGAGACGCTGGAGGAAGAGGGGGGCCTTGCTTCCGACCCAGAGCAGCTGTCTTGCCTTTGGGATTTGAAGTCTCTACATGTCTGATTACAAACGTTATATAAAGATCGCAGTTTCGATGGCCTGTATCATAACTATAAAGTCTGTAACATATGCAGCTAGAATGTCTACCTTTTACAACCCCACATTATTTATTGTATTTTATAGAGCTTTTCACTGGAAATCTAAATAAATGTCAGTAAACCAAATACAAGTTCATTTCCAAGGGGACTCAGGAGCGAGCCACACCCGAAGGGTAGAAAGATCTCAGGGCTGACTCTTTATTTTTGTAGTTTTGTTCAGTTAAGGCACAGACGTTCTGTTCTCACCTGGCTCGGGATGAAGGTGAAGACACAGGATGAGTTGGGTGTGTGTGTGTGTGGGGGGCTTATTCCTTTTGATGAGTTCAGTTCTTTGTAACCTTCCTAGACAAAGCAGAGACTGTCCACTAGGCATTTGCAGAAAGGATGCCCCTCTGCTGGAGACCCCTAGTGGGCCGCCTCAAAGGCCCAATCCAGAGGAACCAGTGGAACATTCCTTGAGGGAACCTGCCCAGGGAGGCCGGCAGATGGGCTCTAATGCAGTGACTTCAGAGCCTGCCCCAGAGCCTGAGTGTGGGTGGAATCTGAGTTCTCATTCCACTAACTCTTGTTCCCTGAGGCAGAAACCTATTTATGCGGGCCAGGAGGTGCTTGACTGTAAATTCCTAAAACTTTTATCATCATTCAGTTTGTGCCGTCTGTACCTGAGGCTCTCGGCCACGGGAGAACCATTTTGCAGGTTTAACGCCCTCTCTCACTCACACTGGTTGGCCTTCGTGCCTCAGCTTACCTGAGGGAGCAGAGGTGGTGTCTTAATCGCCCCACCCCTTGCTTCACCGTCTGCCCACATTTGGCTGGAGAAGCGTCGAGGCACGGCCAGGTAGCAGCCGGGCCAGCGGCCAGTTTGTATGCGTGTTGCCGCTGTGGTGGGCCTGGGGTCGTCTGGATACTTAGGTGGCCGGGAGACGCCCAAGGCAAGGCAGTGGCTGGAGGGTCGCTGCTGTGGAAGGGTCTCTGTGCCATGTGGCTGTCTTGGAAAAGGTGCAGACACGCGCCGGGGTCTTGTTTGTAAAGGAGCAGCTTGAACAGGGCAGGTGGTATGAGGCATCGCATGGTGGGTTTGGCAGCACCTTTCCTGTGTATCTGAGGGAGGCCGCTTTCTGTGAAATTTCTTTTCTATTTTTCTATTTTTAGTACTGTATGGATATTCCTGAGCACCACACATGATACGTCTGTGCTTGCTTGCATCTTTAATAAAGACACGTCCCGTGCCTTGTGTTGCGCGTGTGCTGATGGGTGGAGAGGGGCAGCATTTCAGGGCAACGCGATCGTGCGCCCCGTTGACACCCGGTCCCTGGGGCTGACCGCGGGGGGCGGGGGCACAGCCCCATGTTGGTTTGGCTGTTTCACTCGGATCTAAACATTCCAAGCGGTGAATCCCCCTCCTTTATTTGTCCATTCGTCGTTGCTATTTCTTAGAAGCTGAAGGGAGGGTTGGGGGAAAAGGAGATCGGGGTGCATGGGGCCTGCCGAGAGCCCTGGGTCCCATGTTTAACGCGGTTCTCGGCCGTGTATGTGGAGACCTGCCCGGCTGATTGCACTTGGCCACTTTGAATTCCAAAGCTCGCCTTCCTGATCCCCAGCGGTAGGAAAATCCAGGACATCATTTTACCTGACAAAGCTGGGGCTTTCTGGAAAGCACGTTTATTTTCAAACAGGCCAATTCCTTTAGGTCTCAGGTGGAACCCCAGAACTGATGTTGGTCTCCAATTTCCCTGGACCCCAAGTTCATCCATGGAGTGCCCGTTCTGCTGCCCCAGAGGGGCTGCTCCCAGGCCATTTAAAAATCACCTGAAATCAGGCAGAAACTGAAGGCCAAGGTCGTGAATCCAGAGGCGGGCAGAGCCGTGGTTCTAGCGCTCATTCCTCCAGTGTCCCCAGCCCTGCACCCTAGCTGTGTCACTTCCTTTCATGGGTGCATTTATTCAGGAAACGCTTGAGCGCCCACGAGGCCCTGGCGCCGCTGGAGGCTCTGGGGTCCAGCAGGGACCGCAGAAGGGCCTGGCCCCCGTGGTGGTCATCTCTTGGCGGGAGACGAAGTCCCCATCACAAAACCTGTGTGAGTTTAAGCTCAGGAGGACTAGAAGGGACGTGGTGACGGCTGAGACCAGGGGAGGCGGGTGGGCAGGAGTGGGTGGGGAGGGCAGTGTGCAGGGACTCCGTTTTGGAGGGGTAGCCAGGAGCCAGCTCCCCGAGGGCCTTTTAGGTCATGGGGGTTTGGATTTTGTAGTGAGAACTAGGGCTGCAGAAGGGTTCGAACAAAGGAACGCTGCCCGGTTTGCATTTTTGCAAGCCCCCCTGGCTGTGAATGGATGGCAGGGCCTTTATCCTGGCTGTGTGACTCGGTCCCCAAAATGAGGGGGGCGGGGGCGGGGCTGTGTTAGATCAGCTCCAGGGGTCCTTCTGACAGTGTGTGCCTGGCCCTGAGCATTGCCTACGGTTCCCGCCTTGCTCACCTGGAGCTCAGACGAGGGGAGTCAACGTGGGCCTCGGGCGCTGTGAAACTCCAGCAGAGCCAGTTTGGAGGACGGAACAATGGGGTGGAGTAGTTGTGTGCGGGTTCAGGTGGGACTTGAGCCGGGAGGGTGAGGAGGCGCTGGTCAGACGGAGGAGGTGAGAGAGGTCTTACGAACAACGCCCAGCCGAGCCCCCAACGGCAGGGCCCCGAGCGTCTTGATGCTGCGTACCTGCCCTTTAGACGTCACGGACCGACAAGAATGCAGGATGAAGTGTCATGGTTTACCCAGTGGAGACCATCTCTGTCCACATCCCCTTCTAGGGAGGGTCTTAATGACAAGAGGGAAGCAGAAATCCAGTTCACACGACGGAGCGTCCGTGGCCGGCTCCAGTGGGCAAATGCTCCCACCCCCACGGGCCAAGTCCCCTCTGCCAGCCGACGTCCGGTGGGCACAGCTGGGAGCGCCCTCCCTCCTCCGTGTGGCCTCAGCGCTGCGGATGCAGGCCAGACGTGCAGTCCCCGTCCCGGGAGGCCCCAAGTGTGGGACAGTGTGCCCACTTTCTGAGCCGGTGACTGCGGTTTGAAATGGGTGGAGGGAGTCCTCAGGTCCTCGGGTGTGCACGGCGGGTCTCGTTCCCCCGTAGAGTTTGCCCGCTCCTCCCCACCCGTGCGACATCACTGCCCACTCTTCAGTGTAGAATGAGCGTTTTCAGATGGGTGGCACGTTGGTTGGATGGTCCAGCCTCACCCACCGAGGATTGTCCTCTGACATCCCTGACAAGCTCGCTACCTTCTGGGACAGCCGTTCTGTGGCTGGTGGTGCTCTCCAGCCACATCCTCCAGCCCCTGCCCCAGCCTGCGGCCACCCTCCTCCCTGGCCTCCCTCTCTGGGACACCCAGCCCTGCCTTGGCCTGGCGAACAGCCCTCTGCTCCTCTGGTGCCCCCCCCCCAGCCTCATTGCTTTGCAGCCGTCTCCCCCTGTGGACAGTGACACCCCAAAAGCAGGGCTGTGCTGTGTCTCCCCTTCGGTTGGAGTTTGGCAAATAATCAGCACTTAATAATTGCTAAGGGAGTGGCACCTTTCACTGTTAGAGTGGATTTTGCTTTTTTCTGAAAACCGTCTGCCCCGTCCCTTCTGTGCATGGCCCTTGGCTCTGCCCTTGAAGGCTGTGTCTTCCCAAACAAGAACCAGGCTGCTCTCCCGTCTCCGCACCCTGACCCACCACACCGGGCCTCAGCCTCTACCACGACACGCTTCTTGCTTTGCTTTTCTTGCTCTACACCCCTCCCCTGGGACATCCTTCCTGACAAGTCACTGGCTTCTCAAATGTAGGTGTAACTGTGTCATGGACAGTTTCTGGTGCCCATCCTTCCCCATCTTTCTCCCTCTATCTCAAAGCCCAGAAACACAGGACCCATAAGAACAGCCTAGACCCTTCGCCTGGCATGCCTCCCCCCTTCCTTCATCTCCTTCCTTGGTGTTTATTGAGCATCTGCTCTATAATGTCCCCCGTGTGGGTCCTGGAGACACAGACAATCACAGTAACTCTCCCCTTCAAATTTAGCACCCCACTGTTCTGTTCCCTGGGGACTCTGCTCTCATCTATTACCCAAATACCTACAGAGCGAGCCCGGCGTGGGGATCGGAGGACCTGGGCTCTAGAGTCCTGGTTTTGCCTCGGTTGGCTTTTGACCCGGGCAAGCCAGCTGCCTTCTCTCAGCCTGAGTTGCCATCTCTCCCAAATGGATGTTTTGTAGTAAGCCGTCTCTAAGGTTTCTTCCGCTTGTTCAAGTCTCCAGTTTGCGGCTCTGGGAGCTTTCCTGCTATCCGCAGCCGAGCACCAGCCGGTACACGCACGTCTCCTCCGCAAACAGAAAACAAAGGAGTGGTGCGGAGGGCCGGCACCTTGCTCTCCAAAGTAAGCAGAGCTGACACCAAGGAGAGCAGGGAGACTGCGTAATGTAAGAAGCAGACCACAGGCTGTGTCTGGAAACAGGTGGGAGTAGACAGGGCAGGGTCCAGTGGGAGGCATGCCAGGTGGGAAGAAATAAGATGCACCAAAATGAGTCGGGCACCTGGTTCCGATTCCTGCTCTGCCAGTATCGTGGACCATCAGGGACCCCCTTTTCATCTCATAACGGGGAGGTCTCAGCCCAGGGGTCTTGACATCCCATCCAGCATGAACATTCTGTGACTCGTAAGTGGTCCAACTGTCTATTGACTCCACCCAGACGGAGCTGATGAATGGGGGGGGGGGGGGGGACACCATGACCTTGTAGCCAGTGATGGACTCTGCCAGCAAGGGCAAAGAGAATCAGTCACAGACGCACCTGCCACACAGCTTGGGCCTACGACCGCCATCTCCGAGGCGTGCTGAGCCTTTGCCAAATCTACACAGCAGATGACAACTTGATTCTCACACTTGGATCCCTGTAAGCTAGTTGGCACCGGATGTCTGAGCCACAGTCCCTAAATCTGTCCCTCACCATTGACGGAAGGAATCTGTGCTCTATTAAAAGCATTCTTCAAACACCAGAGAATGCTAAATGTGTTTAAAATACAAAAATCAACCAGAAAATGCATTTTATTCTCCTTAAAGTTGTAATCTTTGCATATCTCCATGGTTTTGAGCACCAGCTGGGAACAGAAGTCCTAAAATACCCAAGCAAGGCCATCTCTGCAGAAGGAGACTCTCAACAGAGCCAACAAGACTCTCTCCTCCGATTTATGCATTCCCAAAAAACTTTTAAGTGGATTGGTTAAAATCTTGCTTTCCCCCTAATGCTCCTGTCTCTCAGTTCTCCCCTTTATACTCCATGGTACATGTGATTTCCAGAAAAAAATCTCAAATACAGTTGGTAGCTAGGAACTCATCTCACTCTGCTCAAGAACCACTGACCATGTGGACCTCTGTGTCCACTTAGGCTGTTCCCTCTGCCTGGATTGTCATTCCTCAACTTAACGTGGATGACGCCGATTGAGGCTTTGAGGTCACTGTAGGCGTGGTCCTAATTCAAGAACCCCAATGGCCCCCTCCCAAGCCCACCACTGCCCAGGGGTCGGAGCCGCTGCGGTGCCTCTCATAACGTACCCCAGACCCAGTGACCGTCTGCTCCTTGAGGCGAGGCCAGGGCTCTTCCTTGGCGTGAAGGAGTTAGCTCGTAAGAGGTGGTGAAGTCCGCGGTGGCCGGTGAGGCCCTGATGGCTGGACTGTGCCCATTGTCTGCCGAATTCAGCTGCACCTGGTCGTCTCAACACTCTCCCACTCCACGAGCATGATTCGTTACTCGCCACACGGGCCCTCTCCAGCCTGGCCGTGCAGCTCACTACTCCAAGGCCCTGACCTGCACTCCTAATGCTCTTTTCCCCAACCCCCTGACGGACTACTTTGGCCTCTTGGAAAGCCTCCGCTGCTGTTTCTAAGTGCTGCCAATTCATGTCCACCGCCTGCCCCAAGTTGGCCTTAAATCTCAGCCTGTAGGGGGTGGTTGTGAATCCAACTTAGCTCACCGACCGACACTTGCCGTCCTATAGGAATCAGGGCTTCCCTGTTTAGCAGAGACAGCAGGAGGGCTGCCGGTTAGAGCAGCCAGGCTGACTTTCAGTGGCCGGTGGCTGCCTCCCCCCGGGGGTCTGAGCCGCACCTGGGGACCCCCAGACGAGAAGGCCAGAAGCGTCCTCAGCCTGGGGAATGGGTGACGGCTGGGTCCCACGCCCACCATGAGACAAGATGTGACCACCAGCACCTCTCTCAGAATGCAGCGTGCCAGGCATTCGAAACTTCAGTTCTGAAGGAGTAATAATCCCCTGGAAGAGTATATGGGCTTACATTTGTGAAGAAAACATTTTGTGACTTTTCAAGCTTCCTTTCCAAGGTCTCTATTCTCAGCCCCAAGAAGACGTAAGTAGAGACGGTGCTCATTTGTCACTTTGTCACCACACGGTGCTTAGCACAGCGCTCCTTCCTATCAGGTAATCAATAAATGCTTGTTACCTAACTAAAGGCAAATTAAATGCTAAACAGCACTAATTACAAGCTGTTGCAAGATCCTGGCTCTTAGCAAAGAGAATTGCTTGTGATTGTCGGGGGTTTGCCCAGGTGCATGGAACATGAAATTATTTTTTAACTGCTTCTTTATTCCGGAGGGTGGGCTGTTCTTCCAAGATTGCTGTAATCTCATGTTCAGAGGGCAGGATTCATTAAGATTCTAAATGCCAGTCTTCCACACTGTGGCATCCTGTTCAGGAGCGAGCTAAGTGGATTTTGATGCCCTGTTCTATGAAAGGAGATAACCAGTTACTATTACAGGGAATGAAGAGCTCACAAGTACATTAGCACGCCAGAGGGGACTGAAAACATGGAGAGGAGCAACACGGAGCCCGCACATAGTACCTGTCCAAGCACCACCCTAAGCTAGCTGCAAAACTGACTCCGTTTGCAAATAAGAATCAATGATTTGTAGTGACAGTGTTTAAAATGTGCAATTTAGTTTCTGGCTGATTGTACTCAAATGAGCAGCTGCGTCAGCTGTCAAGGTAAATATCAGAGAGAAAGCATCTATTTTAGTAAAGAACAAAATAACCATGGTAGCTTTTCCAGAGGAGCTACTTATACCTCATTTATTTTTAATTTTTT